GACCAAAAAAAAAAAAAAAAAAGGAATTATCATAGAAACAGAAAATAGAGTACTGCATGTTCTCACTCATGAGGGAATAATAAAGACTGGGCACACAACAGGCAACAGGCACTGCTAAAGGAGGGAGAGAGGGAGGGGGAATAAGGCATGTAAAACCGCCCATCAGGAACCATGCTCACCATGGCAGGGGCGCTGGGGGAGACAGTGGTCTTATCGGAAGCCCAAACCTTGCCCTTACACAATATACCTATGTAACGAGTCTTCACATGTACCCAATTCTAAAACAAACACAAAAAAATTTGAAAAATAGAAAAAAAATTAAAAATTGTCTTTGACAATGAATATTATTAGAGGTTAAAATGAATATCATCACACATTTATTTTCAAAAACGAGATGTCTTAAAACCAGGCTAACAAGAATAACAGTTCAGTAGTCACACACACATGTACACACACAAACACACAGACATTCAGAAATTATTGCTTCATCTAACAGCAGAAGACGATTATCTTTTTTTTTTTTGAGTCAGAGTCTCCCTCTATCACCCAGGTTGGAGTGCAGTGGCATGCTCACAGCTCCTGCAGCCTTGACCTGCTGGGCTCAGGCAATCCTTCTGCCTGTCTTCCAAGCAACTGGAAAGCTAATTTTTAAATTTATTGTAGAGACGAGGTCTCACCAAATTGCCTGGGCTCTTCTGGAACCTCTAGGCTTGGGCATTCCTCTTGCCTCGGCCTTCCAAAGTGCTGGGATTGATTACAGGTTTGAGCCACCGTGCCCGGTCAACAATTTTCAACATTATAGTACTAAGCACCTCCAAGAGACAGTAATCACTTTAAAAAAAAGTTTTACAAAATTGGTTTGACAGTAACTTTCCCCCAATGCATTAAAAAAAAAAAAGTAGAGGCATTCTTTTGTTTTTATTTCTTTTCACTTTTTATTTTATTTGTTGCAGAGGAAATTTTTAAAAATTGCATCAGGGAGCAGTAGCTCACGCCTGTAATCCCAGCACTTTGGGAGGCCGAGGCAAAAGGATTGCTTGAGCCCAGGGGTTCAAGACCAGCCTAGGCAACATGGTGAGACCTCATCTCTACACTAAATAAAAAAATTAGCCGGGCATGGTGGCATGTGCTTCTAGTTCCAGGTACTTGGAAGTCCAAGGTGGAGTCCAGCAGGTTGAGGCTGCGGTAAGCCATGAGCATGACACTGTACCACAACTTGGTCTTCAGAGTGAGACTCCCACTCAATCAATCAACCAATACGTAAACTTAAAAATTGCCTTATTGCTTTAAAACAATTAGAAAGAACTTTTATCACCCTATACATGATAACATAGGTTGGGTGATTTTTTGACAAAGCAGGAATCTGTGGTACTTCCATTTCCTTACACAGAAGCAAATGGACAATTTTGGCATTTTGGACACTCCCTATGGAGGCCGGCAAGTTACAATTCTGCACCCTGGAGAGAAGGACATTAAACCATTTTCACTTTAACGTTCCTTTTTAATCATACACTACACAGAAACTATGAAATGATTCACACTTTGTAGGGGCTCAGATGTGTAAAAAACGTCAGGAAAAGCTGTCTTCTCAAGAACGTCTTTCTATCTTACCCTATCAATTACTAGATTAAAAACTCCTTGCGCCTTGGGAGGCTGAGGTGAGTGGATTGCCTGAGCCCGCAGGTTCGAGACCCTCCTGG